GCCTCCCAAGTAGCTGGGACCACAGGCACCCGCCACAACGCCTGGCTATTTTTTTTGGTTGCAGCCATCATTCCATCATTGTTCTTTGGCAGACCCGGGCTGGATTCGAACCCACCACCCTAGGTGTATGTGGCTGGCGCCTTAGCCACTAGAGCCATAGGCACTGAGCCTTCTTTTTTCTTTCTTTTTTTTTTTTTTTTTGAGACAGAGTCTTGCTCACTTTGTTACCCTTAGTAGATTGCCTTGGCGTCATAGCTCACAGCAACCTCAAACTCTTGGGCTCAAGTGATTCTGCTGCCACAGCCTCCCAAGTAGTTGGGACTACAGGTGCCTGCCACTACACTCGGCTATTTTTAGAGACAGGGTCTCGCTCTTGCACAGGCTGGTCTTGAACTTGTGAGCTCAGGCGCTCCACCTGCCTCAGCCTCCCAGAGTGCTAGGATTACAGGCACGAGCCACTGCACCTGGCCGATGCAACTTATTTTAAAAGTGTTACTTAATTCAGGATCACATTTTTGTTATATGTTTTCTCATTTGAAAGATGTTCAACATCAATTACAGTTAGTGGAAGGGCACCCTTGATGAAATTTTAACTTCTAAAAAGTGTTCTCATTCTCCTAAGTGTAGGGAAGCTCTGATTTGGGTGCTTACCAAGGGCCTTCCAGCTCTGACAATCTCATTTCTGCCTCCCTAAGTCTCACCCCCCACTGTGTATGCAGGCTTCAGGCCTTAGGGAGAGAGAATGAAGCAAAGAGGGGCAGAGGTGGCAGGGGCTGGGGGATTTGGGGAGGAAGTATTTCTCCCCCCAGTATTGGGGGTGGGGGGAATGCCAATTCTCTGTCATTCAAGCTCACTAAGCCTCTGCCTGGCATGTGACACAACCTGGATGTCAAAACCAAAGCAGCCACCCATGAGCCCTGTGATCCACATCCACACCCACCCCTCAACTCACAGCAAACTTGTCATAGAGCCGGTAAGTGAGCAGGGGATCTGGCAGTTCTCTGAAGTAGGCCTTGCACAGGGAGGACACGCAGTGGATGTCCTGGAGATAAACATCCCGCCGCAGGTCTGGCTTCCTTTCTGCCTCAAACTCCTGCCTGGGGAGGTGCAGAGTGGTCAGGAGTGGTAGGGGTTGGAGTAATGTGCTGAAGGGTGGGAGTTATGGAGACAGGGTCTACCAGGTAGTGAGTCAACATGTGTGGCACTTGGAAGGAGAATGTTGGGGTATGTGAAGCAGCAAGTTATAAGGTGTTGTGTGTGTTGGCGTGTAGAAGTGGATGTGAGGGTAGGTGGATCTATGCGCAAACATGGTTTTGTGTGGGATGTTGCTGTAGATGTGAGCAGCAATGCAGGGGGGTATGCAGGAGTCAGTGGTAGTAGGCAATGGACCTAAAGCATGCTTGGGGATCCATGCAAAAATGAATAGGTGTAATGTGGAAAGAAATATAATGTAAATCTTCAAGACCTTGGATTAGGCAACAGTTCCTTCAGTATGACACCCAAAACACAAGCAACCAAAGAAAAAATAAATAAATTGAGCATCAAAATCTAAAACTTTGGTTCAGTGCCTATAGCTCAGCGGCTAGGGTGCCAGCCACATATACCGGAG